ATTTTTTCCTTCTTTTAATTTTTAATTAGTAACAGTATTACTATGTATGGTTTCAGTCACTGACACTTTTCATTGTTATTTTATATTTTAAAGTACCAAGGATTAAATTCAGGGAAAATTTATCAGTGAGTTACATCTCCAACTTTTTTTAATATTTTATTTTGGCACAGGGTCTTACTAAGTTGCCTAGGCTGGCATGGAACTTGTGATCCTCCTACCTCAGCCTCCCAAGTATCTGGAATCGTAGGCAGGCACCCCTCTGCCCAGGTCACTGCTACTTTTATCTTTTGGGGAAGGGCAAGGTCTTGCTATATAGTTCAAGTTGGCCTTGAGCTCACTATGTAACTCAGGCTGAGTTGCAGTGCTCCTCTTGCCTTAGCCTTCTAAGTACTAAGATTACAGGTGTGTGTACCACCACACTTAGTTAAGTGCAATTTTAGCATACACTTTGATATGTGCTATTCAAAGGGGGAACTTTCCTATGTATTAGGGTCTTTCATATGAATTAGAAATGATCCAGGCATGTTTGAACATGGAAAGTGCTCAACTAAATATTTGTTGAAGTGTGACAATGAATGAGCGATGTATAACTAAGCAGCATTAAACAGCAAGAAGACTATTTACAGATAGCTCCTGGTTACAGCCAGTGAGCTGTACCTCCATACAGTGAAAGTCTATAGAGAGCTAGAGCTCCAGGGAAGCAGAGGCTTGCATTCTTAAGAGTAGGAACTGAACAAAAATGAAGCTCTCTGGGTAGGCATTTGCAAGAGAAAGCAATCTATTTTCAAGACGTGAGATGAGAAAAATTTTCATTTCATGTTCCCTGAGTAAAGCTGTTAGCTAAAACCAAACCTTTACTAATTACTAATCTTGTCATTATAATCCTACAGAGTCTGTGTAATTGGAAATAAGAAATAGCCCACATAGAAAGTAGCACTTGAAGTAATTTTGTTTTTCAGCATCAGTCAACTATTTAGGATTGCAATCATTGCTTAAAAGACATAAACATTTAAAATCAGTACTACTCTAAAAGATAAAGCCGTCAGGGTGACACGGTTTTGAAGGTTGCACAAATGGCTGTTTTAAGGGCCAGCCAGATAGTTCAGTGGACTAAAGCGCCTGCTTAGGCAGATGCAGTGGCAGGGTTTGATCCCAGTGTGCCATTCAGGGTCCACCCCCAAGGCCCGCTGTGACTGTGATTGAGACCGGGTGTGGTGGCACACGCCTGGAATCCCAGCTCTTGGGAGGCTGAAAACAGGAAAATCACTGAGTCTGATCTATGTAGTGAGACCCAGTAGACATTGTCCTAAATATGGAAAAAAGAAAAGAAACGGCTGTTTTAGTTAATATGGTTGATATTCTTTTCTTTGGTCATTCCCATGAATTTGTCTATGTGTATGCAAAAACCTATGCATGAATATTCATACAGCTTTATCTGCACTAGCCAAAAACTGGAAACAGCCCCATGTCCTTCAGTGAGTGAATGCTTAAGCAAGCTGTGGGACTATGTGATGTACTCAGAAATAAAGGGCCGAGCTGCACGTGCGGGCGCGGAGAGGAGAGACGAGGCGAGGCGAGCTGGGGAGAACCACAGCCACGTCCTCCGGCAACAGCAGCTCCGCGGCAGGAATAACTCAAGTCACCTTTACTGGAAATAAATTTGATGAAATTATTGAAACAGCATTTCTTGAATTTAAAGAAAAAGGAGGTTCCCTGCCCTGACTAGAGGAGTGTGGCCCTTCCTCCAAGCCCCCTCTGGATACACCCTCAGAGCCTCCACCAGGAAAGATGCGGCAGCTCAAAGGGAAGCCCAAGAAGGAGACATCAAGGGATAAGAAGGAGCGGAAGTAGGCCATGCAGGAGGCCCGGCAGCAGATCACCACGGTGGTGCTGCCCACGCTGGCCGTGGTGGTGCACCTGATTGTCGTGTTCGTGTATGTGGCCACATGCCCTGCCATCACGGAGTGACCTGCAGCCTGGACACCTCAGGCCAGGAAAGGGAAGCAACGGAAAACTGGCTTGCATATGTAGAGATGTTACATGGCTCAGCTCTGCGCAGGAGTGCTCATGTCTTCTCTGGTCTTCAACTCTATTAAAGCTCCTCCACTTTTCTTGGGTGAGAAGAGGGAACGTCTTATCAGTGAGCATGCCATACACCTGATGGTCCACTTCATGTAACTTTCAGACTTCAAAGCAGTGTGTGTGTGTGCATGTGTGTGGCACGTGCATGTGTGCACACACGTGTCTGTGTGTGTGTGTCTCCTAAAATCAACATATAGTTATACCTGGTGAGAGGAGGTTCTCTGAGGCACGAAGCAGCTGGAAATCGTACTCACCTCATCCCCATTGTCTGGAACATGATGCTTTCTTACACTTGTTCAGTTTCCAAAGGAACTATATTTCTTTTCTGCTTAATGTGATTTGAAATATGTTGATTCAAAATGAAATATTTATTTTTTGAATAAAGGAGATACTAGCCTTAAAAAAAAAAAAAGACATAAAGAGGAATAAGCTAAGGCTATGCAACAACTTGGAATAAAATACATTGAATTGTGCTAAATAGAAAAAAGCCAATCCCAATCACATATTGTATGACTTCATTTACATGATATTCTTGCACTGTAGAGATAAAAAATTGAACATGGGTAGTGGTACATATGACCACAAAAAGCAATAAGTTGCATTGAAATACACACACACACACACACACACACACACACGCTTAAATGGTTACTGAGTACTTTGTTGATTGCATCACTGTCACTTTTCTGGTTTTATTATTATACTATGATTAGTGAAGAAATCACCACTGATGGGAGGGTGTTGGGTGCTTGGGCTGAGCTGTATTTCTTCGCAGGAACTGTGGTTGATTAACCACAGTTAATGTGGTGAATTAACGGCGTACTTGTACCACCCAGCTGAACTGAAATCAGCATGGTGCTGGGTGTGGAAGGCCCACCTAAGGATTGTTGCCAACAGCATAAAAGCAGAACTGGAAGGGCAGATGGTGTGCTGTTGATTCTCCTGGAGAAGCTTGTCACGCTGGCATTCCTGATGTGAATGGAGCTGTTCTCATCGTGGGAGGAACTCAGGTCCTTACTGTCACTGAGGATGGCTTTTTGGAGGAGCTCTGGTCCTTACTTTGAGCGTCGCTTTGTGTCTCCAGTGCCAATCCCTCAGCCTGCTGGCACAGATCTTCCACCCTGCTGGCACAGACTTTCTAGCTTCCCCCGCTGACCTTTGGGCCTTCCCAGTGGAGATCCTTGATACAGATTTACATGAGACACTGCTATGGGCTCTAGGCCTCCAGCTGGACTCACGGAGGACATTGTCATGAGCTTTAGGTCTTCAGCTAGACTCGTGCCAGACACTGCCATGAGACTCAAGCCCTCGGCTAGATTCCTGGGACTGAGTTCCTGTGCTCTTCTGTTTTTGACTTTGTTGTTGAATCTTATAAAACAATCCTATAAACTATGTGTCCTCTATTAAATCTATTCCCTTAAAAATCCCTGACTATAACAGAAACTTTCTGTAAATCTGTATTTTTCAAAATTAGAAATTTAAAGTAGCCAGAATAGCGCAATTAACCCACATATGCCCATCACCTTCCTATACAATTGTCAATTTGTAGACAATTTTGTTCATTTGTACCTCTCTCCCTTATATTCTCCCATATTACTTTGAAGAATTCCCAGGTGTCAATAATTCCATTCATAAATATTTTAGTAAAAGAATCTTTTATTATTAAAAATAATATAGGTAGAAATTTTATTTCACCCAGCTATTCCTCTTCTAGGCACAGTATCAAGGGAGTTAACATCCTTATTAAATGAATATCCACATTCATAGCAGCCCGATTTATAAGAACTAACTCTTGAAAGCCCTCTATATGTCCATCAACAGATGAGTGGATTTTAAAAATGTGGTATTTATACACAAGGTTACACTACTCTGCCATAAAGAATAAATGGTGCTCCTTGAGACTATAAAGTTAAGTGAAATAAATCAAACACATAAGAAACCCAAATTATTTTTTTAAATAATCCTATTGAGAAACAACCTGGCAAGCACAAGGAACCGAGTTCACTCCCTGGTTCTGCCAAAAAAAAAAAAAAAAAAAAAGAAACAAATAGCAATGACACAATTTCAAATGCAATTAGTAGGACTGTTTCAATAATTAATACATGCATATTGTTGCCTTAGTGGTTATTCATTGTACAAGATGCAGACATGATATCCTGTTTACAAACACTATTAGGACAAATCTTTTTATTCATTGAATTAAGAAAATGTAGCTGTGTATCTATCCTCACTACTTTGAATATACAGATACAAAATGGTTGTTCATTTATATCCCTTTTTTTTGTGTTTAGTTTTGTCAGAGAAGGGTATTCCATTGTCATTTAAATATTATAAATAAAGACCAAAATAAAATATAGATACTAAGAAGTATTGATTTTTGTCCAAGCAGGAAGGGGATGCTGAGGGGGGCTGGTGAGATAACTCAGCAGAATAAGCATCTGTTTAGACAAGCACAGGGACTGAGTTCGATCCCCAGCACCACATGCTGTGCGGGCCCCTCCCTGGGGCATGCTGAACTGGCCACTGACTCCCAGTCTAGTGGCGCACACCTGTAATCCCAGCACTAGGGAGGCTGCAAGCAGGAGGATCACTATGAGTCCAAGCTGCCTAGTGAGACCAGTACAAGATACATAAATTTAAATAAATAAATAAATAAATAAATAAATAAGATGGTGAGGGGGAAGAAGGGAAGTGAAGGAGAAACAAGAATTGAATTGTGTCATATGCACATGCCAAACCCCCACATGGAATGTAAACATTATGCCGCACAAACATGTACTGATTAAAAAAAAATGAAAAAATAAAAGTAAAAGACTATAATTGTGTGAATGGTTTTAGTGTGGAAGGCATCTAATTCCTAGACATTTTGCCTTCTTATTCTATTAGGGCTCATGGCTTCAACTCATTAATTTATAGAATTATTTCTTATTTCCCTTTCCAGGTTTTTGTTTTTCATCCTTCTTTCCTTTCTTATCCTTTGGAGAAGTCTTTCCCTTTTTTCGTGCTTTTAGTAGCTCTTCAAATTTTCCCAATCCTTTCCGTACCATGATTCCACGCCACCACGCCTGAATCTGAAAACAAGATAAATGCAAAGTCAGCGTCATCTGGTATCCTGACTGGTGGTGGTTTGAATATAGTTTGTCCCCTCTGAAGCTCAGGTCGACACATGACTGTCAGTGTGAATGTGATGACTGGCAGCGGGAACTTTAGGAGGTGCTAGGGTCAGGAGGTTTAATGCTGCGCTCATGAGAGTGGATTATTCCCTCAGGAGTGTGTTTTTGCTCTCCTGGGTCTAGATTAGTTCTAGCAAAAGCCCACAGATATAACATAGAGCCCTTTGGTCTTCCTTTTTGTGCTTTCTCATTTTCCCTTTCACCTTCCACCATGCAGGACATCCTTGCCAGACACCACTGCTAAGCCCTTAGATCACCCATCCTTGAGAACCAGGAGCCGAAGTCAATCTTTATTCTCTGAGTCACTCAGTCTCAGATATTCTGTTGCAGGCACAGAAAATAAACTAAAGCAGTGATAAATGAAACAGTTAACTTTTTTGTACTAGGGTGTCTTAAAGACATAGAGAATGGAATGTGCTTAGAACTCCAAACCTTATTTTCTATTTTTCTCAATCAGCCAGTCTGAGCCTCTCCCTAAAACCAGTCCCCATCTGTTCCCTGGACTCTGTTCCTTTCCCTTGCTTTGGGAACCCCCTCTTGTATAGTCTCCACTTAGGATTTTCCAGTGGCCTCCCCTTTCTCTTAGAATTAAGGCTGAAGTCCTTACAGTGAATTAAAGCTCTATCAGACCTGCTCTTCTTCTGAGCTCCTGGACCCCTTGATTACCAGCCCTCGCTTGCCCTGCTGCAGCCGTGCAGGTCTTCTTCCTGCTCAGGGGCACTGAGGTGGCTCCCAACTCAGGGCTTTGCACTCCCTGCTTCTCTGCCCCACACCCTCTTCCCATGTTCAGATGGCTCACCCCTCCCAGGGGTGCCCAGCTGTCACTCCATGGTCTGCACATGCCCCCCCATACATTGAAGCCCTACCCTCCAGTGTGATGATGGCATTTGGAGATGTGGCCTTGGAGAGACAATTAGGCTTAGGCGAGGCCATGAAGTTGGGGTGCTGAGGATATTATTGCCCTCATAATAGACACTAGAGAATTTGTCCCTCCCACCCCTGTGAGGACACAGCGAGAAGACAGTTAACCCAAACCCAGGGGGAAGGCCCTCACCAGAAGAACGTGGCCGTGCTGGAACCCTGGCCACAGACTCCTAGCCTCCACAACTATGAGGAAATAAATTTCTGTCCTTTAGGCCACACATTTCATGACATTTGTTCTGACAGGTTAAGCTGACCAAGACAGTCATCTTTCTGGTGAGACCTACCCTGACCATCTCGTGTAAATCAGCACCTTCCCCTGTCCTCACACACACACTAACAATCTCAGTTCTCTTTAGCTGAACTCTTTGTTTCCTAGTAACACTTATCACTTTGTAACAGTATGTAATTTTGCTTTGATATTCAGTGTTTTTATTCACACACACACACACACACACACACACGATTTTAAGCAATATGACAAAAATATTTTTCTCCCCACTAACATCTCCAGTACCTGGGATATAATCAAAACTCAATAATAACTCAATAAACTCAATACTTGTTGATTAAATGGCAAAGAGGTTGCTCCTGATATAAGGTAGGTATAGGAAGAGCTCTCCATTAAGAGGACATTTGGGGCTGGGGAGAGAGCTCAGTTGTCTAAGTGCCTGCCTGGCAAGCACAAAGATCTGAGTTCGATCCCCAGTACTGCACTCCACACCGGCCTTGGCAGCAGCCACCAAAACGGGGCGTGGTGACACACACTTGTAATCCCCAGTACTAGGGAGGCTGAAATAGAAGGATCGCTACTAGTTTGAGCTGCATAGTGAGACCCTGTACTAAATAAATAAATAATTTTTTTTAAAAAGGACGTTTGAAGGCTGAGGGGATAGCTCAGCAGCTTCTTAGCTTGAACTTGGGGCCAGTTCAGGACCCATATGTACAACATAATGATACTCTGTCTCAAGCGCAAGGTCCTAAATTCAATCCCCAGTACCACATTTTAAAAAAAGTGTCTTTGTAAGGTCTGGCCAGATAGCTCAGTGGACTAAAGCACCTGCTTAGGCAGAGCACAGCAGCTAGGGTTTGATCCCCAGCATGCCGTTCCAGCCCCATCCCCGGAGTGCGCTGAGACACCGATGGAGACTGGGTGTGGTGGCGCACAACTGTAATCCCAGCGTTTAGGAGGCTGAAAATAGGAGAATCACTACGAGTCAGATCTACATAGTGAGACGCTGTAGACTCTGTAGACCCTGTCCTAAATACATTAAAAAAGAAAGAGAGAAAAGGACGTTTGAGCAGAGAACGAAGTGAGGGCCAGAATCTTGCTTGTATCTGAGGAAAACACCTCTGGTAGAGGGAAAGTTCCGAGTAGACCATACTTGACAGTTGAAAGAACACCTAGAATCGGGTTTGTGACTAAAGAGAGAAAGAGAAAGATGAACCCGGAGAAGAGAGCAGTGATTAATGATTCTCCAGGGAACAATGCCCTCTAGTGGCGTTTTAGAAATTTACAGTTTTTTTTTTTTTTTTTTTGTTTTGTTTTGTGGTCTTCCTGGTGTGTGAGGGATGCCCTAGTCCCCAAAGCCTTTCGGAAGGTGTGCAGGCCAGGATAGTTTGAAGGTATTCCGTTTTCTGACCTCCGACTTCCACGTGAGCCCCTAAGATCCAGCTCGGCAACTGGCCCTCTGACACGTGCACAGGACAGGCAAACCTTGCAACCCTCCGCGCAACTGTTACTGTGGTGCCTTGCCCTGGTCTTTCAAACTCTCTGCAACACCAAGAACAGTGACAATTCAAATGTCCATGTTGATGTTGAGAAAAACCAATGACTCAGGACTGAGTAACCCAGTCGTCTTACAAGTCAGGTGGCTGCTAGCTCTGCTAGCTCTGGAAGGCTATCTGATGTGTCAGCTAAGATCTGCTATCTGATTTCATTATTTAAGACAAATATTATAAGCATTAAAAGCATCTCTCGGGGCCGGGGAGATGGCTCAGTAGGATAAGCCCTTGACCAGCAAACGCAAGGATCTGAGTTCAATCCCCGGTTCCGCAAAAAAAAAAAAGCAAAAAAAAAAAAAAAAGCATCTCTCATTCTTATCAACTCATGAATGTGAACAAGTTTTCTGAGGGCTCTCATTTGTAAAATGAAAAAAATAGAGGCTCCAACAAAAACCTGCCTTGATCTACTAAGCAGTAATGTTTATGCATGGATTTGTATACTAAGTGAAAAAAAATCCTCTTACTTGAGTATGTCTTTCTAAATCATTCTGATGTCAAATAATCATCGAAACTTGTCATAAATGTTGTTAGGGATGATTTTATGCTACTAACAATTGTAATATAATAACCTAGAACATTAAAAAGTTATGGTCACAGAAAAAATTAAGACTTTAAAGCAGAATTAATGTATTTTTTTGCCTAGAAATGCAAAAGGACAATCTATAAAGGCTGGAGGTATAAAGTTCTGTGATCCCCAGCACTGCAGGAGAAAAAAAAAATCCAGAAAACAAAAATAAAATACAGGTATAACCTTAGTATCAATTTGGAGGAAAATTGTAATGGAAATACACGTTCAAGAAGAAAAAGACATAACATTTCAGTCTATCAAAAAGAACTTCCAGGGCCATGGAGATAGCTCAGTGGTCTACGTACCTGCCTGGAAGCGCAAGGATGCAGGTTTGAGCCCCAGTACCACATGCCACACCAGCTCTTCCCCGGACATGCCAAGCAGACCACCAAGACCAGGTGGGTGTGGAGGTGCATGTGTGTAAGCCCAGTGCTAGGGAGGCTGAAACAGGAGGATCACTACAAGTCCGAGTTGCATAGTGAGACCCTGTACCAAATGCATAAAATAAAAAAAGAACTTCCACTAGGTATACCCTATTTCAAATATTAATCTCATAGCTTTATTTAAAAATGTCAACACTGAAAGTTCACTGGAAAAAAAAAATATATATATATATGTATTTTTGTTTGTTTGTTTGTTTTTTTGGCTTTGCTGAGGCTTGAATCCAGGCTTCACCTTGAGCTGCATCCCCAGCCCTTTTTAATTTTGTGTTTTGCAATTAGGGTCTTACTAAGTTTCCTAGGCTGGCCTCAAACTTGCAATCCTTCTGCCTCAGGATCCTGAGTAGCTGAGATTACAAGTGTGTGCCATGCGACTTGGTTTACAATCTTTAGGAGAGGAAAGGAGATAGCACAAGAAAATTCATTGTTAAAAGGAAAGTGTTGGGCTGGTGAGATGGCTCAGTGGTCTAAAGCACCTACTTAGAACAAATTTAGCAAAGAACAGGGACCGCGGTTCAATCCCCCAGCACCACATACCAGCCAGCCCTGCCCCCTGGTGGGCTGAGCTGGCCACACACACACACACACACACACACACACACACACAAATTTAAAAAAAAAAAAAAAAGGAAAGTGTTGAGTATGATAAGGTGGAGTTATTGACAGAGTCTCCCAGATCAAAGACTGGCTCTTACTCCCAGTAAAGAGGAGAAGCATTGATTTGAGCAATGGTAAGATCTGGCCTATCTCACTAGCCTTTGCATGACAGGTGCCAAAGAGGGAGATGGTAGGGGGACAGGCAGGGAAGCCGGGATGATGGGCACTAAGGCGGCATGCAGGCATGAGACAGTGGCACCAGCTGGACCAGCTGAGGCACCAGGAACACTGACTGCAGCGGACACTTTCGTGGCCAAGGGCACCTCGTGGAATCAGTGGGCATGAACTTGAACTGCAAAGCTCTTCACTTTCTGATCCTAATTAGTGGTCTCAAGACTTCTGGCAATATTTTCATTTCTAATTTTTCAGTCTTGTCTTATGCCTTTGTCAACAGAAGTCCTTCACAACACTGATATAATCCAAGAATTTTAGCTTGCCTTAGAATTTGATATTTTCGGTTTCTTTTGCCTATTTGTGGGATTTTTTAAAAATAATGTATTTAGTACAGAGTGTGCAGGGTCTCACTACATAGATCGGACTTGTAGTGATCCTCCTATTTTCAGCCTCTCAAGTGTTGGGATTACAGGCGTGTGCCACTATGCCCAGTCTCAATCACCGTCTCATCATGTCCCAGGGGCGGGGTTGCATGGGCAAGCCCCAGGATCCAGGATAGAACCGGTCCCTGATCCTGCCTAAGCAGGCGCTTTAATCGCTGAGCTATCTGGCTGGCCCTATTTGTGGTTTCTTACTTGACAGAGAGGTAAGAGACATAAAAGAAAAAATCCTAAGGTCAAAATTTTAAAATTCCCTCCTTTATCTCTGGGGTTGTGAGAGTAAATATTCTCTTGGGAAGGACAAGCTTCAGCCCCTGTAGAAGGATCTAATGTGCTTAAAACTAGGCCACCTTCAAAGCCGCTGTGGATATTAACAGGATGCGTGCTGACTTCACCTTCGTTGCATTTAGTCTCTCGTTTCTGCTTTTCCTCAGGTATCTCCACACAGCCTCGTTGCCTTCTGCACATACTTTCACTGGGGGGGCTTCCATGGGGTTGTTCATCAGTGTCAGAACCTGAAGGTTCTCGAGGCTGTCCAAGTCCTTGGGAAGACGGGTGAGCAAGTTGTCCTCCAGCAGCAATTCTCTCAAACCTGGAGGGATTTTTGTTTCAAATGGTGACTTTCTCTTAGAAACAAGCAATAGTGACTTGGCGCCTAGCCCTGCCCTGGTCCCCAAGGGAGCCACCTCTGCATTTATAGCAGGAATGTGAGGGACTGTGTGCCAGAAATCATGGAGCTTTCCATACCATCTAATAAAATGTAGTCTCTATGGCTGTTCTTCCTCATCATAAACACAACAGAAATTTGTATCCAAATAGCCGTAGTGGTAAACTAACAGCAAAACTGGCAACCATTACTCTCAGGCCTGGCCCTTAGATCGGCACTGTGCTGGAAAAACCAACTCTGGAAGCCTTTGGGTGGGACACTCTAGGTTCCTGTGGGCCTTGCTATTCCCCACAATCGCTGCAGCCTTGGGTACATCAGTGTGACACCCTGATCCCCTTTTACAGAGGAATAAGTGGCACCTGCTTCAATAGACCAATTACCTTCAAGTGAACGACAAATTATTTTTTATTTTTAAAAATTAGTACAGGTTCTCACTGTACAGATTGGACTTGAAGTGATCCTCCTGTTTTTCAGCCTCCCAAGCACTGGGATTACAGGTGTGCACCACCATGCCCAGTCTACAAAATATTTTTTAAAATACCCTAATATAAATAAAAATGTATGTATTCCAAAAAAAGCAATCAAGTATAAAAATAAAGGCTGGAAGATACCTCAGCAGTCTAAGTGCCTGCCTGACAGGTGCGAAGACCCAGGTTCGGTTCCCGGTACTGCATGCTGAGCTGGCCCAGTGTTGAGCAGGCATTGAAACCGAGTTTGGTGGTGCACACCTATAATCCCAGTGCTGGGGAGGCTGAGACAGGAGGATCACTATGAGTCTGAGCTCCATAGCAAGATCCTGTACCAAATTTTTAACAAAGTACAAAAATAATTCTCCCTTCCTCACCAAACTTTCCACACCTTAATTATTGCAAGACACCACTACTGTTAGGTTCCAGAAAACTTACAGAGACTATCTAGGCACATGCTGGTCCAGAGATACATGTACATAAAATTTGATAAATCAAAGGGGCATTGTCAGGCATGGTGGTGCCTGCTTGTAATCCCAGCACTCGGAGTTCAAGGCCAGACATTGTGAGGCCCTATTACAAAAAAACAACAAAATCAAAGTGGTATCATATAGAATGGTCTGCATGTATATTTTAAGCATAAGGAACTATATTAAGGAATTCACTGAAAGAGAAATAAAAACAGTTTGTAAATGTCAAAAAGATACTCAACATTATCCAAAGACAAAACATAAACACTGAAATACAGTGTTTCATCAATCAAAGAGACAGAGATGAAGGGCACTAATACCTGGTATTAAGGAGAGAGGAAACAAAATTATGTTTAAATCATAAACAGTGATAAATGGTTTACAAACTCAGCTACCTTCCATAGTTGATTTACCAAAAGATAAAATAAATATAGGAAAGTTTGTCTTGAAACTGGTATTTGGGGAACGTAATACAAATTATATGCATTTTTTCAAAAGCAGCTGGTACAGTGGTAGCCACCTGTAACACCAGCGCTGTGGAAGTGTGACTCAAGAGAACCACTAATTTGAGCCCACCTGGCCAATTCAGCAACTTAGCAAGGGCCTGTCTCAAAATAAAAACAGAAAAGGCTAGGGGATGTAGCTCAGCAGGAGAACCCTGGGCTCAGCCTTCAGCACTGCAAACCAAAACAACAGGAAAATTAAAACATGCATTCTTTAGTCCAGTTCTTGAAATACTTGTTACTTGCCGTGCCAAATGACAAAGGACATCTGAAGCAAACCAAGCTCTATTCTTTATGACAACGCCAAAGTTTCTGGGTCTAGGTGAGTGTATTTGTAGGCACATCTCCAGCAGGAGAGCAGGAGAAAGCCAAAAGATATATTTTTAACTTTCAAAAAAAATAACTTCATGAGTCTTTTGATTTTTTAAAAAAATGTGTGTGTATTGTTATGGTGTGTATTGATGTCTTTGTGCTCTAAAATAATTTCTTATTGTTATCAAAGACTATCGTGTTTATTTTAATAAACATACCTTCCTTTTCCTTGTTCCAAGAATGTTGTTGGTGACAGTATAAATAAATATTAAGAAAATTGTCAGTACTGAAAAATGTTGAGAACGTTTCGCTCCTCTAGGGACCAAGGACAGGCTAAGAATGCTCGTTCAGGAGCCTGACTCAGGATAACTGCACCCCACCTGTGCCCGCAGGTTTTGAGTATCTTGTACACAGCTTACAGCCCCTACTCTTGTATTTCATCATCCTCTTTCCACTGAGGAGTAGTCACAGTTTGAAAACATGTTAGTAAACATGGAGGCTCAGAACACTGTGGCAAAAACTTGTATTTGGTCCCAGGAGGTGCTCGGCAAAGATTGTTACATGGGATGGAAGGATGGATAGATGGAGGGATGAATGGATGGATGAATGGATGGACAGATGAATGAATGGATGGATAGATGGATGGACAGATATATGGACAGATGGATAGATGGATGGGTGGATGGGTGGATATACAGATAATGATTTTTGCTCAGTGGAAAATGCTTGGGTATTTACATGGAAATCATATATGACTTCAAAGTCAATCACACAGCTCTTTAAGTCCTCCTTATGATGTCACTACCCAACTCAATACTTTTCCTTTAATTTAAGTGACCTAGTGACCTAAGTGGGAATTTACTGCTGGACAACTCTGCATTCGGGCATGTATTAGCAGTATGTACTCAGCAGATAGCTGCTGCTGATGGGTATAATGCAAGCGTGGATGTACACCAATCGTGTTAGCGGTTGCTATTTACCTCTCTTTTCAACTCAAATTACAATGGGCCTTTGCCAGATTCTTGGCTTTACTAATCAGAGCAAAATTGCCACCTTCATGTCATTTTTTCAGCCCTGCAAGAAGGGGATGGGACAAGGTTCAGCTCTCCAAATACTGAGCAAAGTCCTTAGTGAGGCAGGATGTCCACTCATCATGGACACTGGGCTTACTCTTCACTAAGCTATGAATCCACTAACCTTCCTTACCTTGTGCTTTGCAAATTTCATCTGGGAGCTGCTTAAGTAAATTGTGCCGACAATCAAGAACCTCCAGCTTAGGCATGGCCCCCAAGGCTACAGGCAGGTATTCCAGACTGTTATTCTCTATATGCAGCTCTTTAAGACTCTGAAATAACATGAAAGTACACCATAACAATCCTTATCTTGGTAAATGAATTGTGATAACTAAAGTCAATAGGCAAATCATGCATTGAGATAGAAGAGTAAATGTGTCTGAAGGATCTTAACCAAGGAATAAAATTATGTTTTAATACAGCCATTAGATTTGGTTTCCATTTATTCAGGGATAAGAGAACATAGTAACTTTGTTCTAGTAGAACTTCATGAAAAAATAATTTGGGTTATTTAACTGCATTTACCATTCGCTTTCTTTGAATAGCCAGTTATGTGTGGCAGTTGCCACAGAACTATAATGGCTTCAACTATCAGGCCAACATCACCTGTAACCCAACATCTTATCTATGCAGAAGTGGCCAAAATACACAGACAATAGTTAAAATGTATCTAATGGGGCAAAAGTGTGACATTTGCACTTCACCCTAAGATCTGGTGTGACATGGGCATGTGACAAGAGAATGAAGGCTTCCTGTGGGCCTAGGGGCAAGGGACAGAGAATTAGGAAGAAACTGTCTACGTCATGTTGAGAATTGCCCACCCTGGTCATGCCACTGCATGGTTCTGTAACTGGGAATTGTGTGGAAGCCCACATCTACTCTATCATTCTCAAGAGCACCCTAACAGGAACAGGGAAAAATGAACAGTTCTCTAAATAATACATATAAAGAAGACACACATTATAATGGAAAGCTTTGAAGGAAGTCACTTTGTTGCTTTGCTACAATTCAGCACAGTACTGTGCGTTCATCATCGGCCTGAACCTGGCTCATGTGCCCACCTCCAGGCAGAGAGGCAGGCCACTGTGCCCACTGTGAGGAATTGTGGCACGCAGTGGAAAAAAGAACAGCATGGCAGATCCAACAGCAATCGTCCCTGGGTGGGCAAGTACTCGGGAGGATGAGGCAGAAGGATCATGAGTTTAAACCCAGCCTAGACAATTGAATAAGACCATATCTCAAAGAATTAAAAAGGATTTGAGATTTATTTTTAGAAAATGGCTGGGAATGTAGCTCAACAGTAGAGCACTTGCCTAGCATGTATGAGATCCTGGGTTCAGGCAGCGGTGGTGGTGCATGCCCGTAAGCCCCGCACTCTGGAGGATGAGACAAGAGGACTGCTGTGAGTTCAAAGCCAACCTGGGCTACATAATAAGATCAAGTCCAGCATTAACTGCATAGCAAGAACCTGCCTCAGAAAAGGAAACAAATGAAAAGATCCAGGGTTCAATGACAGCACCACAAACAGACAAATCCATAGCAATTAGTGTTATTCAGTGGTAGCGGAGGCTTCAAAACATTAACAACCACCATATAAATGAAACCCTGGCATGTGTGGCTCCACACCCAGCCTGTGGGGGCACATCACGCTGTCTCAGTGCCAGCCAACTTAGGGGGTCAGTGGCATAAACCCATGGGGGAGGCTTACCTGCAGTTTCCCAATCTGTTCTGGAACACAGGCAAGCTTGGATCCCTGGTCTTGCCCAATGTATAATTTCTCCAGAGATGCTAAAGAAAATATTTCCTCTGGGAAAGAAAGAAACTCATTTCCTGACAGTCCAAGTATCTTCAGTTTTGAAAGCAAACCCAGCTTTGACGGCAACTAGAAGTATTCCAAAAGGTAAGTTTCAGGTTGATTGTTTTAACAGACAGCAAATAAATTGGGGTTCTGGTTTAGAGGCAGACATCTAAACAAAAGGAGAGCAATTAAGTTTCTCTAACTGACTAGTCCATATATGAGTTTGCATATATGGACTAGTTTCTCTCTCTCTCTCTCTCTCTCTCTCTCTCTCTCTCTCTCTCTCTCATTTATATATCTGGTACAGGGTCTTACTACACAGCTCCGACTCGAAGTGATCTTCCTGTTTTCAGCTTCCCCAGTGGCTAGGATTACAGGGGTGTGCCACCATGCCCAGACTTGGTTGACAGCTCAGCGTGCCCCCCGGGGGTGGGCCAGTGAGGCAGGGCCATGCAGCTTTCAGACTGGGGATCAAACCCTGGTCCCTGAACCCTGGTTCCTGCGCTTGTGAAAGCCTAGTCCACTGAGCTATCTCGCCAGCCCTCCTATCACTTCTCTTTTTCCTTTTAGGCACTATTTTATTTTATTTTAGGCACTGAGAATTGAACTCAGGGCCTCACACTTGCCAGTCAGGCTCTGTGCCACTGAACTATATCCCTACCTATGTGCTATTTTAGATTGGAACAATTTGAACTTCCTTTATGATGACCTACCCCATAGCAAATATTTGACCCTATTGAAAAAGTACTCAGGCTATGTTATATTTCAATAATAATAGTTATAATAAATCAGATCCACCCTTCATCCCAAAAGGCTTCAACTTAGCACGTCTGAAACTTCAAGAGAAATCTTAGTTGGAAGCAAACATATGTTTGGGTCCTTTTTGGGTCCTTTCTAATTGGAGCATTTAAGAAAGACGGTTACGACTATGTCTAGTTACATCCTGCCATCAGCAAATCCCCAGGCACGAGTGCCCTTGTGGCTTCTGGGCGGGAATTCACAGACTGCCCGACTGTAGGGGTCAAACAGTCTTCAGAAAGTTCTCTATCCCAGCCCTTTACTGTGGTTCAGTGTGTTGCGTACGAGTCGTCTGGCCTTCATTACTTGCCAGCTCCTGGAAGGAAAAGCTCACTACCTGCCATGAATCCCTTTAATCACAAGATTTTCTTCTTTTGTCAAGGCATAATCTATCACTATTATATTCCACCTATTGGTCTCTTTCTAGTCCTCTGGAATCACGTAGGGGGAAAAAAAATCTCATTCTTCATGTACATAACATAGTCACCCTGTCAGTTGGGTGATACCTTATTTTCTTGTTAGAAAGAAAAATCTTACCTACATATATCATAGCTCATGCATTTCCTTAGCTTTCTTTTTAACCAGGAAATTCTCTTTATAGTTTCCTGTTGCAGCCCTTGGACTTTCCCCACATCTATTCCCTAACCCTCCAATTTAATTTCCATTCGGGTCAGACCCCGGCTCAGCCCAGCCACCCCTCCTTACATCTCTCTATAGCGGGGTCAAACAGACAAATCATTGGATCATTGGTCACTTGAAAGTTGGAGGCAAAAAGAAAGCTCACCATATGAGTACTGTATCAGTAAAAGTTTCATATATCTGGAATTTTCCCTTTTTTTCATATAAGGCAAGGGCTTGTTTATCTAAAAATTGTACAGGATGCTTTCAGTTTTAATTGTTGATACAAAACCATATCAAGTCAACTCCAGAGAACACTATGTTTAAGTTCTTCACCCTGGCTATTCTAAAATTCTCTCTTTTTTGAGAAAGGGTCTCACTGTGTAGCTTAGGCTGGCCTTGAACCTGTGGTAAGCCTCTGGCCTTAGCTTCCCCAAGTGCTGGGGTTACAGAGGTAGGGCACCACACCCAGTGTCAAAATTCCTTAGACTCCATCACTACTATGTAAAACAACTACAGTCAGTGTTGTGAGTCCCTGAAGCTGAAATTGATCACCTGTGGGAGGGCAGGATGAGCCCTCATTGCCGAAAGCAGCCAACCTACCTCAGTCTTTAAGAAAAACATCCTGCCTGGACACTGTGGGCTATTGCTCGCTAGGTAACCTTGGGGCTTGAAACTCTGTAAAGGTATAAATAAAGGCCCTTACTATTCTTCCTGGGCTTTGCCTACCAGACTGAGGTCCACCACCTGACCTCAGCTATCATTTCTTGTCTTTATTTTCTCCTCTCCCAGTTTTCTCCCTACAGCAAGACCAACAGACCCCTACAATTCAGTGCAGACTAAAACAATGGGAAAAGATTTTCTAACCTAGTTACTTTATTAGTGCTGTTTACTTGGTTCATAAACCTAGCTTTTCTTTCTTCAGAATGTATTTGAATATCCAAAGATTTTTTCCAGGATATTCAAGATCCAATATTTAGTTTCATTGTACTCATATTGTTAGTTGTCACCCCAAAGCCTCATGCACTTACGGGGCGGACTTCTACAGTTTGTGACTAATTCATGATCCAGTGCTGGGATTATGGGTGGGAGGGTTTTACCCTGCCTGGGATGGATAACCTGAAAGCCATGTAAGGTAAATCTGCTTACCCTTTGTTGCCGCTGCCCCTGTCCTTTTGCTCTTTTAGTTTTGCTGTTTTCCACCGCATGAATGGCTTTACCAGTCTGCCTTGGAGTCAGCTGAGTATGGAATGAAACCTCCACAAACTGTGAACTAAATAAACTTTTCCTTCCTTAATTTTGGACATTGCGTAATTGGTCCCAGCAATGATAGAAAAGTAACTAAAACACATATATCAAAGTGTAGTAAGTAAATCTAGAGATAGGGAGAACCTGCAGAGCATCAATTAAAGACAGTTCTTGCTACCTCTATAAACTGACAATCTGGATTACCCCCCCCATGCTTCATGTGCTCATAGGTGAGGCTTTGGGGAGATGAGTGGATCATGGGGGTGTGACACTCCTGAGTGGAGTGGTCCACCAATGAGTTTATAGCTAAAGATGAGGTTGGGAGGTGAAGCTTGATTGGAGGAGGTGGGCACTGGGGGCATGGCCTGAAGGCTTGGTCTTCCTCTCAGCTCCCTTCATTCTCTCTTCCTGCTGCTAAACCACAAAGGGATTTTTCCTCTGTGATGCCCCTCTTTAGCTGTGGTGTTGGATATTGTGTCTCAGCAATTAGAAAGTAACTAAGACAGATTTGTACCATTTTGAGGTTGAATGCATTCCTTTGGTTTTCTCCTTTAATAAAAATGTGCTATACAAGTTAAATCCATCTCAGTACATACCAAAAGTCAGCTAGTTTTGCATCCACCTAGGCAAGGAGAAGTTATGAGCTAGTTTTCAAGAGCCAAAACTCATCAGTTGGGTCTTTAGGATGGGAGAGACAAGGAGTTGGTTTGACGACCATTGTTAATAGGAGAGAAATGCATTTGGGAGTACAGAGGGTATTAGCCTAAGAGGAAACTGAGAAGGGAGGTAAAAAAAAAAAAAAAAAAAAACACCATTCACACAAAACCATCAGAGTAACTCAAGAATAAAAACGATATTACATACAGATTATCATGTTCATTATATAAACATTTAACATGCTTTCAATTTTATGTGGTTTGACTTGTGGTAAAAACTGGAATTGGATCTTACAAAATTACTTACAGGGAAAGCTTAGGTATCACTCATGATTTAAGTAGAATTAGGTCAATGTGTTAACCTTCCCAAGTACACTTTGTATTTTGAGTTTTTCATTGCAACTATGGAATGAAAAGCTTTGTCCACTGGAGGTATTTCCATTTTTTACTGCAAGGGTGGAGTGGTGGAAGAATGGGTTTTCATGAAAACTTTAAAACCTTCCAGAGCAGGTTTATAATCTCAGTAGAAATTAAGTCCTAGTTCCTTTTCCAAATTGTCAAGTTACCACTAAAAATTTTCTTTCCTAAAAGGTTGTTTGAAAGCCATAGCAATTAGTAAGAAACTTCTAGAAATTATAAACCAAATATAACCCGTTTAAAATAAAATAAAAAATCTTTACAGCCCAGACTTGCACAATGCATAGTACATACATGAGACTTGTATTTAAGGCCAGGAAAGGCACACTACTCTCTGCTTACAGCTGTTGGTTTCTAGAGCTCCCTTTTCTCCCTCTCCAGTTGTCCTTTGCTTCAAATCACAACTCTGTTCTTTTTAACTTTCAAATATTAAAAAATCACCAAGAAACCAGCTGGGTATTACTTGGGAGGTTGAGGTAGAAAGATCATGAGTTTGAGGACAGCCTGGGCCTCATAGTAAGACCCGATTTCAAACACCCCCCCAAAATTGTGCAAATCTTTTAATACATAAAATAAAATATCACAATTAAAATTAAATTCCTCTAAGATACCCTCCCCATACCCCATTGTATTGACTTTTCCCAGACGCATTCAGCCACCATCAGGAATTTAGTGGCTTTTCTCCCAATTCATATTTTTATAATTTTATTGTGTATAAATATCCATGCAATATGTGTGTATATATGTATTTATGTGGGGGGCGATAGAACGCTCCTGTTGTATTTCCCTTATTTGGGCAAGAAGTGCTGCAGCACCAATCCCCGCTTGCCTCGACATCTTCCTGTGGTCTTGGATCTTCACTACCAATCCACAACTAGTCCCACCCAACTGCTTCCACTATACAGCTATTTAGACCCTGTTCACGTCCTCAATAAACAAGACTTGATCAGAAAGCCTGTCTTGTCTCCGTCTCTCGTGTCTCTTGCCCTGTCTTTTTCATCCCCGTTCCTCCTCCAGGTCATTAGCCCACGTCTCGACTCACGGGCCGAGTCATATTTATATATGTTGTTTTGTGTGATTTAAAAATGAATAAATGTTTTCATAAGATTCAATTTGGTTTTTTTTAAATTTATGTACTTGGTACACGGTCTCAATATGCAGCTCAGACTACAGCGATCCTCCTGTTTCAGCCTCCCTAGCTCTGGGATTACAGGCGTGTGCTACCATACCCAGTTTCGGTGTCTGGTTTGGTGTGCCCAGGATGGGACCAGCATGGCATGTGGTACTAGGGATCAAATCCATGTCCTTGCACTTGCCAGGTAGGCATTTAGACTGCTGAGTTGTCTCTGTGGTCCTGTTTTTTTTCTTTTTAAGAAACAACAGAATTTGGAGGTCTATCCACCTTGGCATAAATAGCTCCAGTGCACTTAAATTACTAAGGCGCAGTCCCTTTTATGGCTAGCACATGGTTAATTGGCCCGCTCCCCTCCTAACTCTGATAGTCTCCCACATGTCATAATTATCACCAGGTTGCGATGACCAGGTTGGACTTGCAAGCCTGCAAACACGCGGGCAGTGTCTCTAGGAGCAAATCTGTTTTTGTGGTATCCCGTGGATGGAACATTAATGCCTAAGGCACCTCTGCAGGAAAACCTGCAGCTAAGGGCCCTTGCCGGGAAGTGGTCTTGGCTGAGAATATTGACCAGGGGCCCACAGCTCTGGGTTAGAGTCCTGACTTTAACACTTAGGAGCACTGTGGCCTGGGACAATTATTTCAGCTCCCTGTTCATCATTATTGTTATATATCATGAAGGGCATAAAACAAAACAATATTGTAAGTTAAATAATATAATCCATACAGACATGTAACTCAGTGACAGGCACATACATGCTCTAAAACATTAATTACTATACATTAGTTACTACTGCTATTTAGGAAGACAGAAAGTCATGCAAACTTTAAATGTACACCTTGTGGTATACCCTTGCTTTTGGCTTATAAAGTCAGTTCAAATTCCTGCTTTGTGCTACTGAGGATCAAACCCAGGATGCTCTACTACTGAGCTACATCCACAGGGCCCATCCTTTAAAAACATGTGTTACTTTGAGACCCTACTATTTCACTAAATCCTTCAGATAAGAAGGATTGTGATCTTTCTGCCTCAGCATCCCAAAGTACAGTGTCCTGTTTAGAGAGAATTATACCAATCTAGGGTAGGGATTCCCTTGGAATGGGAGCGTAGTGAAAGCAGGGACGCCGGGGCAGGAGTACCTGGCCTATTTTATTGTCATCCAGCGCCAGGGCTTCCAGGTTCCTCAGCACGCAGATCTGCGCCGGGAAGTGGTCCAGGTGGTTCTGGCTGAGATCCAGGAAGCGCAAGTGGAGCAGCCGCTGGAAGGAGCGCCGCAGGCCCCGCAGGCCAGTGTTGTGCAGGTAGAGCAGGTGCAGCTCAGGCCACCTGCACACGAGGCGCGGCACTTTTTCCAGGTGGTTCCCACTTAGCCCGATCTCCGTCATCCCCATGAGCTTGCCCACAGCACATGGCAGGGACTCCAGGAGGTTGTAGGACAAATCGAGCACGGTCAGTTTGCTACACTGGCATAGCGACCTGGGCAGGGAGGGCAGCTGGTTACGAGCCACGTAGAACTTCTGCAGCTTTGTCAGATCTCCAATTTCTTCGGGAAGAGCCCTGAGTTTATTGTCATCCAGGTCAATGACCTCCAGGTTGTAGAGGACGCAGAGCTCCGGAGGGAAAACCTTGAACTGGTTTTGCTGCAGGTAGATCTCCCTCAGCTTCAGCTGGTTCACTAGTTCTTTGGGCAGGGATTCCAGGCAGTTCCCGGACAGGCCGAGCAGCTCGAGGTGGTGCAGGTTCTTACAGACCACCGCGGGAAGCTCCCCCAGGTTGAGGCGGTAGAGCCGCAGCTCACGCAGGGCTCGCAGGCCGGCCAGCACCGGCAGGGAGGCCGCGGCCAGGGGGTTGCCGCTCAGGTCCAGGCGCTGCAGGTTGCTCAGCGTCCCCAGCTCAGGGCACAGCCCCCTCAGGTTGTTCCTGTCCAGGTAGAGGGTCCTCATGTTCCTTAAATGCTGGATATCCTGGGAAATTTCTTCAATGTGGTTATTTTCCAAATACACTTCTTCTAGTTCTTTTAATGCCAAGATCTCTGGTGGAATAGCTGTCAAGCTCTGATTAGAGGCGTCCATGAAGAATATTCTATCCTTAACCTGTGCTTCGCTGCTCTGCTGATGAACTTTAGGTTCTGCTTTTCGTTTGTCTTCTAACATTATTCTGAAGGAAGGTCCAAATAGTCAAAATCTGAAACACTTTGAAAAGAAAGAAAAATCAGAATCCCCAGATACTTGATTATTGTAAAGAAAAAAAGTTAAAACCTAGTTAACTAAATTGAGTACTTGAAATTATTTTGCCAAATGTTTAGTTTTTGTGTCATGGTAGGATAATAAAGTGTGAGCTCCTCTTTCTCCTAACAGGCACACACACACACACACACACACACACACACACACAGAGTCTAATGTGGTGGTGGTGGGGTTGGTTTGGTTTTGGGGTTTTTTTTGAGACAGGCTTTCATTATGCAGTTTGGGCTGGCTTTGAACTCACTGTGTAGCCCAGGCTGGCCTTGAACTCACAGCAATCCTCCTGCCTCAGCCTCCAGAGTGCTGGGATTAGGGGTGTGTGCCACCACACCCAGCCTCTAATTTGTTGCCTTATTTTGATTCTGTTTCCAGCTACAGGGTAGAAGCTTGCAAAAGATCATTGTTCTTAACCCTGAGAAAACAGTAGGGGAAAACCCCGTATTTTTCTCTTAAAATCACCAGAGTTGTAGAAGAAGGCCAAAGGACACAATTCTAGAGCTGGACCAGTCTTTTCCACAGAAGGAGAGGCCAGTGAGCAGGCCCTGTCATGCCCAGTGGCAAGTTTGAGTCTGGGGCTAGCAGGCCGAGAGGCAAGCTTCCCATGGGCATCAGCAAAGGAGCATCTGAGCCAGGGCGATGTAGGCAGACATCCGCATGGCCGTTAGCTCCAGAGGAGCCTCAAACGCAGTCTCAGTTCTCCCCCTGCCAGGTTTGCTCCTTTAGACTCTGGCTAGCTAAGTGGCCTCAGGGAAAGTTACAGCTGGACTAGAAGAGCAAGTCCATTTTAAAACACAATAGAGCTAGGGATGTGGCTTAGAGGTAGAGGACTTAGCTGACCAAGTGTGTTCTAAGCCCTGTGCTCCATCCCAAGCACTGCAAAATAAATAAATTAATAAGTAGAATTGCAGTGACTTGAATTGAAACTGTAACCCAGAAAGAAACTTAAAACTTAGATAACTGGAGATATAAACTATGTCTGTGGATTAGAATGTTCAATCATATTAAGACCCCAACTCTCCCAACCTGATTATAGTTTTAATGTAAATCTCAATCTCAGCAAATTGTTTTTGTTTTCTGATAGAAGTTGACAAGTTTCTTATATACACATGCAAAGGAATAATTGTGAATAATAAAAAAAACAAGACAAACTTACACCATTGAACTTATACATTTTAGGAAGCTAAGCTGTTAACATCACATTTCAGAAGAATTAAGCCTTTTCAGGTGGTGCAAGCACCTGCCATCTGGGGAAAGGGGTCTTGGGGCGATGGGGAAACCTGGGCCAGGATGGTGGCTATGCGCACGGTGGCCCATCTGGCCTTCTTAGGATGGGGGTTATGTGAAGAAAAAAAAAATATTTAGCAATAAATAAACTATGTCTTCAACATTTGTTTAGTTATCAGGCAGATTAATTTTACTGTTCAATCCTATAGGATAAAAATCTCCAGTTTCGTGAATGCAAATTTCTTCATTTGCTCCAGGACTATACACAGTGGTACCTCGGTTCATGAATTTCTTTCCACGATTCTGATCACAGAATTCATTACATCATTCTCCTTGCATCCAAATTGCAAGTAACTATTGTCAACAAGAAACCTGGCTTTGCCAGGCAAGATGGTACGTGTCTGTAATCCCAGCTACTCAGGAGGCTTAAGCAGGAGGATCCCAAGCTCAAAGCCAGGCCAGGCAATTTAGTAAGACCCTGTCTCAAATTGAAAAATAAAAATAAAAAAAGAAAGGCTGACTGTACCTTAGCAGTAAAGCACTTGCATAGTATATACGGGGCTCTGGGTTCAATCCCAGTACTACAAAATAAATAAACATCTAGAAATTTGGCTGATTTTAAAATCATTCTCTTTGACTCTGAAGTTTCAGGCTCAGTTTTCTTTGCAACCTCCAAGGAAGTTCAGCTGGGAAATTCACATGGACAAGCCCACTGAGATGAGGGCTCACATCAGTGTGTACAGGCTTTTGGATGTAGGAAAGGGCTCATTTCTCTTTCAGATTCATTTTGCCTTCTAGGCTGTCTGATCATCTGATTGTCTCACCTTGAACATGTCTCCTACATGTTTCTTGAACCAATTTGACAGCATTCTCTCTCTCTC